GACCGTGCCGTGCCGTGCCGTGCCGTGCCGTGCCGTGCCGTGCCGTGCCGCCATCCCCGCATCCCGCACACGGTACCGCGCCTCGCCAGCCTCCAGCTTCCAGCTCCATCACTACCCTATACTCCCTTTATTAATAGGGAAATTCTTCCTTTCTGACAATGTAATAGTCTAAAGTAATCTTCTGCGTGACATTGCCCATCCGTCTTCTCAAAAGAGAAAACAAAGGGCATGTTTTTTTCTTTGGGCCTCTCCAGATCCTTTTCTATTTTGAGAGGGGCTCCCCACAATGGGGTCTTTATGAACCATAATGGTTATGTTTATGAAGCCAGCGATACCAGTGTATGAAGACAATTTTATGCCTAATTAGAAAATGATGTAAGCAAGGGGGAGACAAAGAGGGCTTGTCTGCCGTGGCTGGGTCTCCGGCCACCACTCCAGGGCGAATATATCGCCTCTTCTGTGCTTTACGTCCACTATTTTTATAACATCTCGTCCATTAGCTCCTCAAACTGTTTATGATATCGTGGACAGTTAGTAAAACAGCTCAATTTAGCGGTGGATTAAAGCAATTTTGAAACTTGTTCCGAAGGGAATCGCACGGGAGGCGAAGAGCAGCCCTCCCTTCTCCTATCCAAAGGGACTTCACCTCTGGGAAGACTCCAATAACTGCAACCCCAGCCCCACTCGATTAAGGGATAATTTTTAATATATATGCAATAAATGTTCACTTTGTTAGATTGAATGACAGACAATAATATCGGCAAATCTTCATATCCATCCATTACCGGCAAACGAGCCGCACAAAGAACATATTTGCTTTTGATTAATTTATTTGCAGACTCTGTTTGATAAAGCAATAACTATTTGGTTAAACTTGACATTCGGTCTTCGGGGGGTTATCAGACCAATTCCCTCTCGTTCGTGGGTGATAATAAAGCTGTTTAAACGGGATTAATTATTAATTGGTTGCAATTAATTTCCTCCCTTCTCCACGTCGACAGACAATGAGGATCACTCACTCCCGAACAAAAGACTGCCATAGGAGCATCCTCGCCCCCTCCGTATCTATCTGTGTATTTATTCGTCTGTCCCTCTCCGTCTCTCGCGATTCCCGGACGCAGTTTCTCAGCTTTCCTCTACCCTGCAGCAGGGAGCTCTCCCCCTCGGCTGGGCCGAGAGGGACTTCAGGACCCCCGTGCGAGCCCGTGCTCCGCGACCCAGGGGCGCCAGTCCTGCGGCCCTGCCCGGCCATGGAGAGACAGCCGAGCAGCCCTGGCCCCGCACAGGGACTGCTCTGGCACGGAGTGACCCAACAGGCATCCCAGGAGGGCGGCCAGGGAGCGGGTCGAGGAAGGACAAGGCTCCCCGATTCAGCCGCGGTGATGAATTGCTGTGGGGGACAGGAACAGAGATTCTCCCCCCCCATCTCAGTGCTTCTGCTGCTGATGAATGGGCCCGGAGGATGGATAGTCCAGAGTGTGTTATATCTTCATCAAACTGTGAAACCCCTCCCTTTACTAATAATCTGTCACAACTTTACAGAACACACACTGAGACCAAAGGGAAGCCCCTGCCCTGTAGCCTGCCCCTTCCCTCCCCTGTCAGGAAGGGCTTTATCCGGGCAAGGAGCACGGGGGAGGGGGCCTCTCTCCGCGGAAAGTTTTCCTCGGCCGCTGCTCGGCCTTTTCCCCCTCGGCTGCCCCGGGAGCCCCTCCCGAAGGGCTCCGTCCCCTGAGCCCAGTCCTCTCCTCGCTGGCCGCGGGCGGCGGGGCGGGTTCTGCCCAAGACAGAGCGGGGCGAGCCGAAAGCACCCCAGAGAATTTCCAGCACGCTTTTTAGTAGCGGGAGACATGAGGAGGCCAGGAGGGGGGAAAAACACCCGTTTTCCCCGGCCAAACGGAGGGAAAACAACTAAAGCGAGACCCAGAATCCTCCTCCAACAACCGATCTTTCTCCTTCCCTTAGTATTTCTTTCGGTCACAGTTAAATATCCCTTTTTCCTTCGCATATTTACATTTCGAGCAGGTGCCTCTTCCAGCAACGACGTCCACTCCTCTACTCTAGGCAGTTAAAAACAAGAATCAAAAGTAGTTGTTTGAAAGTGAGGAGAGCAGCGGGAGAGGCGCTGGGTGACAGGCGGCACACACACACTCCACAGTGTCCCTGGCCGCCGCTCGGAGCCCCGCGGCGCAGCCTCCACCGCAGCCCTGAGCGCTGCCCGCCGCTCCCTCCGCCTCTTCACCTACAGAAAGGCTCGTTCCGGATTATTCTGCTCTTAGCCATAGTCATTGCTCCGGCCCGCAATAGTTTAAGGCGTAAAACTGAGGCAGTGAAAGACATTAGTCTAATGAGGTTTGTCGTGTAGAAGCTGTTGATATTATGTTGTCATTCATCTCATTTAAAGTCCGAAGAAATGCATTCAT